TAAATAATTATATCGTTTTATTGAAAATAGTTTAACTTAAGATTAACTTACATAAATGACTGAGAAAAGCTTTGCTAGGTTCTAGTCACAGCAGAATTCTTATTATGTCGTCGAGTACCGTCAATATAGACACAATTATAGAACAATAGGTTGCAGTCACCGGTGACCGCTTGGTGTTTGACAGTTTAATAAGCAGCTTGCGCGAACACAGTGGTGTTCCGTCGCGCACCCAAAATTACTCGTAGTAGATTCATGCACACTTTTTGGGAATTACACTCCTCATACAGTGAATCTCAGTTAGCTTATAAAAGTGAGTGTACGATTACCATACCCCTTGCTTTACCGTCAAGGCCTCCAGCCTTATCTACGCATAAATATTATCAATTAAGTCAATAAGTGTCTATATTGAGGTCTGACCTTTTCACACAGGTATTTTAATTTAATTATACACGAAAAAGCTTAATTATATCATTCCACTACATTGTAGATATTTAGTAAGGCACTAACCTTGCCACATATTGCCAATTCTCAAAATAAACGAACCAGTTCTTACGTAAACATGTGAAAAGGTAAAAAATAAGAAGGCTTGTAATGCCTTATGACCTTGAGTGATATTACAAGTATTACACGTTGGCGACCGATAAAATATAAAGTTCAAGGTCTTGGTCACATCTCTCGTGTTAGTGTTGCTTGTATAGGGTGTTAAGGCAGGGTCATACTTGCGGTGGATAGTGAGTGGAAGAACAATTTGGCCAATAGATTGCTTGATTTGTTTGGTGTAATAGGAAAGGTATTAGAACCAGAATTATGTCTAGGAAATTACTTTCAATATTATTTGTGCCTTGATAAAAACTTCTTAATAGTGGTTACAGCACCCGTCAAAAATACTTCTTAGGCTGAGATTAAAAAAATCATCCATCTGATTTACCAAATATCTTCGAAGGAGAAAATTACAATTTAAACAAATAGAAATAAGATAAAATTATTATTCAAATTAAAAACGAAACGTTTTGGTTCCTGGCGCCCAAAAGTCTGTCCATACCTTAACATTAACACTCCAATTTACTTTAGAGCGTGCCATAAATTCGAATCAAGCAGTTGACAGGTGGCTACTGGGTAATTACTATAATTGTTATTACAATTTGATTGCTATACTTGTTAACTTTGTCATTAATTGAGGCTATGTCTATGATGATGGTGAGATAATATTTGGTTACACGAGTCATTGAAGACATTTGAATAATGATGGACAAAAAACTATGAAGTAATCAGGTCATTAAACTGGAAGTTGCGGTTTGTGGTATCAAGTAGCCGGTTCCGAGGCGAGCTAGCGCCATGCTGACAAAAAAGTGATGATAGAATTCAACTATTTATATTACTAGAATATAATTTTACTACGCTGAATTAGTACAAAAAATTGCATATATTGTTTGTTAGCTTTATCAAAGTCTAAAGACCTTTATAATTATTTTAATGACTTAGGGTAAATGCCTTTACTTTAGCCAGCAAAACATCTTGGGAAAAGCAATATTATGTCTGTCACCGGCTACACCACCACTACATTGCAATAAATCATTTTAATAATAATTTTAATGGTGGGAGAGCCATGCTTCGGCACGAATGGGCCGGCTCGACCAGAGTGATACCACGGCCTCACAGAAAACCGACGTGAAGCAACGCTTGCGTTGTGTTTCGTCGTGTGAGTAAGGTTATCGGAGGCCCAATTACCCTCCCCTTCCCCAATCTCCCCAATCCGTGAATCCCCAAAGATCCTCAAACTCCTAATCCCCAAAAGGCCTTTAACGCATTTGTAATGCCTTTGGTGTTCCAGGTGTCCATGGGCGACGCCGATTGCTTACCATCAGGTGATCCGTCTGCACGTTTACCGGCTTGTGCCATAAAAAAATCGAAAAATAACATTCCAAAATTATGTGACCAAAATAAAAGAATAGCCATTGCATTTTCGTCACAATAACCAGACGATTACCAACTAATAAACCTGTAGGAGACAGAATGACGTTACTATATCGGCTATACACATATCTGAAACAATAGCCGTTGTCTACTAACACCCATTATACATGTTCATAATTATTATTGTAGTTAATAAAAGTCGAACAATAGATACGATTGGTTCTTGCGAGAGACACTATTAGTAGTAGATTCATTGTTACTATATTGTGATCGAATGATCATAAAACTTTATGTGTATGTCAAGATTTACTGCTTACGGCTAAATAGGTGCTTTGGAAGGTTTTTGTTTTGTTGTTGGTTTGCAATAGTGAGTGTTTTGATCTTTTTCAGAGTTAAATAGACATGTTCAAATTATTTAATTATTATTATTAATGAGAATTTAAGAAAATAACAAGCGATAATTAAACCCTTGCGTGAAGTTAGAACCAAAAAAATAATTCAACTTTTACTTTGTCAAACTGAGAACATTATAGCATTTAATGACAGTGTACAATGTAACACCCACTTTTCACTATTTATGTTATGAGCCCCATGTAATAGGTGAGCCTATTGCCATATACCGGGTACATTTCCAGACTCTCTGCTACTACTGAGAATAAAAAAAAACTAGTTATACTTTGCCCAACCCGGGAATTGAACCCGAGGCCCGGGTCAACCCGGCAGTCGCACTTGGGACCACTTGGCCAACGAGGCAGTCATAAAATATTTCTTTGGAAATATTATTATAGTAAAGTTAAAATATACCGTAAAATGTCGAATGAGGTCTCCCACTGAATTGCGATTCGCGGTTAGAGGCTAATAATCACATAAAATAAAAATATATTGAAATGATAGCAAGTAATCGGATGCAAACGGTAGATCTAACCATTGAACCGGTAACAGACCATTTGAAAACTCTTTACGATTGAAATAATAGACATTGAAAGTATTAGAAGACTAAATATTATAATAAAACTAGAGTAGAATTTCAAAGTGGGTACAAGTCAATAAATGAGTCTCCACATACAAACTATTATAAAGAAGAAACAATAACTGCATAACAATAACAGTATAAGATAAACAATAACTACAACTCCACTCTAAGATTTACTATGAATCAATTATAGAACATACAGATTATATGTATGTATGCATAGCAAGTTCTTGTAGTACATACATTGAGTTTCAGTAGACTGTGAAAAAAAGAATAACTAGTCTAGGACTACACAGGAACTTAGGATAGGGACAAAGACATTATGATGATAAAGGTGATACTGAAGGAACTACTCAAAACTACAAACAAACAAATATTAATATTAGAAGAGTAAACAGGAAAGCCAAATTAGATAACATATTACATGTACAACCAGAAGATTACATTCCAATTCATACAACTGCCGATACGCATGAACACATAGGTACAAATATAGCCGAGCCAATCAAAGGAGATCATAACTCAATAATAGACACAGGAATGTAAAAACTAAATGATATTGCATTCATCTGGTTTGTAACAGTAGTCGTACTAATACTAAACGATGTTGATCATAATGTTTATTTTATTGGCGATACAATGAACATTACTGGTGGACAACATTGAAAATTGGTCGTAAAAATCGTCTGCACGAATTTTGTAATTAAGCGGACGTTTGCCTCTAGTTTTAAAGGACAATATCCTTCTAAATATTGAACTTTTGTGCATCATAACGGTATTGCAACGGTTTTTTTGCTAATGTATTCATGAATATTGGTTTTTAAGTGAAGATGACTTCATCGACTTGGATGACTGTCTAGTTTTATTAACTCTTAGTTAATAGAGTTTCTTTCGATTTGTAAATTGGATTAGTCTCGTAGGTATATTTTGTTTGAACGAATTTAATTTTCTATTTATGAACAGGTTAGAACTAAAGCAGGTATTACTAATTAATATCTTAATGGCTTTGATTACTAATTCCAGCTGTTCAAGTAGTTTTTGGACCTATTTTTATTAAGCGACTCTTTGTTCAAAAATTATATAATATTTGATCTTGAAATTGTCCATTCTACGCATATCTTTACCTCTTTTAGCTTCAAGCATTTTTATAAAACCTTCCACCTTTTTCAGATTTATTTATTGTCGTCCAAAATCTACCTTGGCAAACTCAAATCTGTCTATTCATCATGATGGAATTAAACCTACTTTACGATGTGTGTCAATGATATTTGAATTAACTAAATAAACTGGATCCATTGAATGTGAAGCGGTCTCATTTGAAAAGTAATGAACATATTTATTAAGTTATTAAGTTTCTGCCACATTATAAACTTTTGATTGCAGCAATAAAAATATTATATGATCTACTTTTCTATGTTTATATTTTGAAATGGAATGCAAACTTTCATGGCTGCTTTTATAGATATTATGTGGTGCAGGTGTAGACAAACTTTTCTATGAGGAACATTGGTTTGATGATAGACTCTCAGTTCTTAATATTGATGGACTCATTTGACTAGAAAAATCTTAAATCAGGTAAATTTTAATTCTAATATATTATAAATTATTATGTTTTCAGCTTACTCACGTAATTATTTGACGAGGAACTCGACTAGTTTCAAGCCATGCTAGAGGCTCGTATTCAAGAGCAGCATTTCGCGACCTGCGACGCGGCGACTGTCGCGCTGCTACTCAATATATTATGTCTATCAGCTACGTCTTTCTAAGTTCTACTGCACGTTTTTTTAGACATTATTATAAAGGGTGTTTACTGTATATCAATATTAATTGTTATATAGTTCGATAGCGAGCTTATTACCTCACTTCACGTAGCACTTAAAGGTATAATTTATTATTAGAAAGTGTAATGATCTAATTCTGAAGCATGAACTTACCGTGCATGCGAAGAGTGCATTCTGCCACGTGGCCTTGTTTTCACTGAAGTAGTAGCAGCTGTGTCCCAGCCTGATGAACTGCGGCGGACACACGTACGACATCTTCGTGTTGTTTCTCTGACCTTCCACTCCTCGACCTGGTGAGAAATATCAAGTTAATGATCAGTTTCTTGATATTGGCTTATTAGTCTTGGACAAAGACTTCTCTAGCAGAAAGAAGTCAGTTCCATGATAGAAGATAAACGAATGCATTATTTAGCACAATATTTTCGTTTAAATAAATATTCAATTAATTCACAGAAATCCAGAAGGAAAAAAGAAGACGTAAATTCCTTATGCACTCATTCAATCTTTTTAGTTGTAGAACTGTTTACCTATTTAACATCCTTACTTCCTAGTCAGAATAAAAGAACATGCAATAAATATAACAAAGTCACAAATCATTGGCTCTTACAGCTGAACCGCAAACAATAGAACGTTGATTTCACTTTACCTGACAGAAGCTGTTTCAAACATGGCGGCCGGCGGCGCGGCACAAGTTGAGAGATTCGAATAATTTAATAAGCTAGCACTAGACTACTGCAGCTTTCTATTAAATTTAGTGTTCCATTAAATTTAGAGGGCCGTGAATAAATGAGATTGTTCATGCATGGATTATTTGTGTTTCAAACTGCAGTATGAATAAACTTTCGTTTTGCAGTTGCTTGTTTATTCGAAGCAATTCAATTATAGTTTAGAAACTTGCGAAATGTCTGGGCTATTTGAAATGATTACTAGTTAACGTAAAGTATATGTGGTACTAGCGACCCATCCCAGCTTCGCACGAGTGAAATTTGCATGTATTGTACATATAAACCTTTCTTAAGAAACACTCTATCTATTAAAAAAATCGCATCAAAATCCGTTGCGTAGTTTTAAAGATCTAAGCATACATAGGGACAGACAGACAGCGGAGAGTGATTTGGTTTTATACTACGTAGTGATTTTGCAAGACGCATTCATATAGATAAAACTAGTAGTCATTCTCTATTGTAAGTTGTACTTAAATATCGTGCCCTCTGTCATTTTACAAAAATATTGTAGTGACATAAATATACTAAGCTCAACTTAAAATTAAAAAGCCTTTCATTATTCGAGCATATGAAATTAGTTTCTGCGTATTAAAACCATACCGGTATTACCCTAAGAATGGTAGGCGTAGTTTAAAAAAGTAAATAATTAGCGTATAAGCTTATCTTCAGTTGTTATTATTACTGCTGCTACAGCGTATAGAATTGGTGATAAGAGAAATATTATTAAATTCCTTCGATATAGTGATATAGGGCAAGAAATTCCCATGCTGTTCCACTTCCTCACAATACTTCGATAAAACTATTTTGTTATTTTCCTATACCTAATGTTAGTCGATTAAAAATTTTAATTATCGTGTTTTGCTAACTTGACTAAGGTCAGCGATATGCTGAATATTTACTTGAATATAACACACTAGCTTAATATAAGAAAATGTAATAATATATCACGTTAGTTAATCTTTAGAAGTCAGACGAAACAAATCTTATACTATACTATTATTATGTCGCGGAGAACCTAACGGGTAACCGGGGCTCCGGCTCGATGTGCAGGAGAAGGAACGGGGTGGTTTTTAGTCAGTAAGAGTCTAACACTCCCTCCCGCCTCACCCAGGCGGGAGCAGTCATTCGTTGATTTTCCCCCCTTAAAAAAAAAATACTATACTATTATATAAAGCGGAAGAGTTTGTTTTTTTGTTTGTTTGAACGCGCTAATCTCCGTAACTACAAGTCTGATTTGAATATTTTTTGTGTTGGATAGCGCATTTATCGAGGATGGTTATAGGCTATAAAACATCACGCTGCGACCAATAGGAGCTGAGCAGAGTGTGTGAAACAGCGCGGAAGTAGCTATATAGTATAAAAATAATGATCATAACAGGTATGTATAAATCTATGGTATTTACCTAATTAGAGACCGAATGCAATCTTAGGCTGATTTTAGTGTCGCGCTGACCGCTCGCTGACCGTCAGCGCTGACAGCCGAGATATATGAACTACTAGGGCGTTTAAGTTTTTACGCGGTATTGTTGTAACTATCCAAAATAAAATGTCACAATACTTGTCACATTTATATGATTATTTGGCTATTTGTCATGCTTCATAATAACCACAATATCAGCATATTTGGCCACCATTTTAGGAGCTACTAGTGGCAACAATGCAGACAGATCTTAAAGTAAGTACAGCTGATAACAGGAACAATAGAATTTGCAGACATCAGCATCTCACGCTATCCTGAATTATCAAATTTCATCAACCTATTCTCAACTGTATCACAAAACAAGAAGGTTGAATATGGTATGAAATAGTTTGATGTTTTTGGGTAGCTTGACGGGCAGTGTATGCAAATTCCATTGTCAGTATTATCAGCAATCGGAGACAACCTCAGTAGTCCACGACTTCCATTAGTGTAAAGATAGTGGGCGGATTAATCAAATACGAGAGCAAGTTCTTGGCCAAGGTCGAAAACCGGACTAAATCAGTTTTTAGGTACCTAACGCGACATTATTTTCAGAGATTTAGGAATTACAGATTTATTAACCTATTTGTTGAAGATTGAAGACTTCACGGGTTTAGGAAAGATTATAAGATAGAGCAAAAATTTGACTGGACTGAACTGGCCTCTTCTACATAAAATGGGTTGTTGGTTTTCCAAGTTCACTAAGTGTGGGGAGTGGGGAAGCAATGCGGCACGCATGGGCCGGCGCGACCGATGTGACACCACGGCCTCACAGAAAACCGAAACTACGAAACAACACATGCATTGTGTATCGTCGTATGAGTGAGGCTACCGGTGGCCCAATTACCTCCCCCCAATCCCCACAATAATCCTTCAATTTCTAATACCCAATAGGCCGGAAACGCAGGTGTCTATAGGCGGCGCCGATTGCTTAACATCAGGTGATCCGTTTGTTCATTTACCAGCTTCTTCCATAAAAAAAGTTCTCTAAAGATTTCGTGCTGATGTCTTGAACAGTACCTAAGTACTCGGTCTTTGGCTATATTAGGATTATTCTTGCCATTGGCCCTAGATAAGGTAATATGGAAAAGTGGAAGTAAACTACATAGTAAAAGTAAGTATTTAAACAATTTACTATTCTAAGAATAATAGCTGCACGGAGAACCACTTCATTTAAAATGATAAACAAATATTATAATACACATTTCATTACTTAAATTAAAATACCTACATTTGAACAAAAATTAGTACGATAAACACAAGCGCATCATAATTATTTTACGCGTGCTAAAATTGCATATCGGTATGCTAAAACTGGTGCCTCGTTTAGACTAACTGGCATAAAGCCGGTCAGACGCCAGTAGCAGGCGCTAGCACGGAAGCTGAAGTTATTGCGGAAGTATGTGACCTAGCCACTAGCACAGATTCAGTTATCTAGACTAGAATTTATGTACGTTTTTATGAAACTTTCAGTATAAAAATGTAATTAGTTTTTACTGTTTAATCCTGTATAATTTGCTGCTGTTCTGAATTTTAATTTTAATTTTTTTTAAAAGTTTTTATATCTACTCGTGGGACCTAATTACCTATTTTCCGACTTTGTCTTTTGGGTGCTGCGATTATGACCGATAACGAAACAGTCAGTAAGATAAAGACAATGAGAAATACTCACATTGCGACCAAAACACGATGAACATGATAGCAGCGATCGCCGCCAACTTTCCTCTCCGTTCCATGGCTTCCATTTTGTTTTTATATCACACTAGTTCAACACAAATCACACACAACCAACACTAAATCACTGGCCAGTTCTCCACGAATCCATTCCAATTACAAATTTAAAAAAGGATTCGTCGATTAGGACATGTCGAATTCGAAATTGGATCGCGCGAATTTAATTTTCTTTTGTTTCGTTCACAACCTGCAACAAGGAAAGAATTAATTGATTAATGTGTAATTAATACAGCATGTGTCGTTTTATGCAAATTTTGTTATTGTATTAAAAAGATAATACATATTTTAATGAGTGTCGTGTCATGTAAACTTGATATCGATTTATCAGAAGTATTTCCCAATTTCGAATTATCATTAGCGAATGAGTCATCGACTAAATTGGGAAACGAAAAATATGCACAATGCTCAATGATTATTGTAGGCATGTACTGAAATTATTTCAACAGAAATGAATCTTATCAAGTGTAATATGATTATAATTGAAATTGATACAAAATATATGTTTTTAATTTAAACAGCTCTCATTTCAACAAGAATACCGTGTCAAGTTACAATCACGTTCGCTTACTTTGGACTGTCAATGCAATATATTAATGAGCACCTGGTTAAGTAGGTATGTTTAATAAGCTATTTGAAGTGTGTGCTAATATTCTATATTATAATTATGTATATAGTACTCATATTACGAACAATGACCCTTATGAAAGAACTTATGCACTTTATATGTTACCGGCGTGGTCTATGAAAAAATAAATAACCTGTTTTAATATTTAATTTTCTAACTATTGTCAAAAAAAAATCGTTGAAATGTTTTTTTTATATGTATGTGCTGACGTTTGACCAGTATCTCGCCTGATGGTAAGCGATGATGCAGTCTAAGATGGAGCACGTCGTCCCATAAGCCGCCTATTCACTCGGGCCTTGAAGACACTCAGGTTATACCCTTCAGGAAATACAAACTCTGGCAAAGGAAATGTAAAAGAAAGACAAACGTACCAACTAAACGTAAACGTACCAACTAAACGTAAACGTACCAACTAAACGTAAACGTAGTTGAAAATGTCGCTTGTATTGTATAAAATCTGCTACAGACAGCTCATCTAGGAAGAATTAGTTAGATATGATTTAATAGATAGGTAGTTTTGATAATAATCTTAAAAGCTACAATTGTCATTTCAAGTCACAAATTCAGACACTGAAATGTCTACAAAGTATCTTAGAACATTTGGTGTGGTTTCAAATTACAGTTTACATTATTCTAGAATGTCAATCAAGGCCTTTCAGTTCAAATAACTTTAGAACAAAGAATATCAGTCTATCTGACTACAACAAAAAAAAAATATTTTTAAAAGAACAATTCTTTGATATTATTAATGCTCCGTTTATCATTGCGAGAGATAAAACAATAGTCTAGACTAGACTATTTTACGAAAATAAAATTCTATTTTACTAAAACGGTGCTCCAGGGAAATTGTGAGTTTCATTTAAAACTGGCCCTAGAGAGAATGAGAATGGGATGAAAAGAGTTCGGAAAAAAGAAAGGAAATTTAATTAGTGTTTTAGAGATCCGTTAGTTCATGCAGCATTTTTTTTCAAGAATCTTTTTCTGTCTAGTTTGTATGTAAGGACTAATACTCATACTCATTAGTCTACTGTTTGTAGTAGAAGAGACTGAATTTCATTTCATCAAATTATGGTACTGTCTTGTGCGTCTGGTAGATTAATTTACCTAACACAGTACACACGTATTTTTTATTTTCTCACATAATGAAATACTTTCGACCATGTATTTATTTGAAATATCCTGTGACGTCACAGCGTGGTACATTTTGTAGCACGTTGTGACGTCCTTCCTTCGTAATCGTGTCAATTTTCGTATTCTGGCAATTACCATATTATATCAGCCACAAGAAGTCCACTGTTGAACATTGGCCTCCCCCAAAGAAGGAAGCTTAGCGATAGACGTCCAACGACCACTTTTATCAAGGTTTCAAAGCTCGATAAGCTATCATGATCCCGGATAAGATCAGAAGTTGTTGGTTTTTAGTCAATAAATTTCTGACACTCACTCTTTAGGAAATAAGGATTCTACCGTCATCACACATCAAAGGATTTCTTTTATACAGAACCAATTTAATAAAGCTGACTCACTCGAGTCGTTTTATAAAATAATGAGTCTGTTAATTGACCCGTTTTGATTGCGAAAATAACTCAGTGGTGTCCGCATTACATCTTTTATAACGAAGCTCTAGATTTTTGTGTCGTCATTAAGGAACTGTGTTCCTGCTTACCTAATTAGTTTATGTAGGTTAGGAAATTATATAAAATTCAAATGTGTTCCTGTTCAGTGTCTTAGCTGAAAAGAGGAAGATGAAAATTTTATTTAATTTTCGGTGTTAAAATGTGGGTCATCGAATCGAATAGTAAAATTGCGGGTGTAATGGATAGGTTTTCGGTCAAAATATCCCAATCTTTAGAAGAATAGTAAAAGATATAATAGGAGCGGAACGAATAATACTATTTTTTTTTTTTTTTTTTTATAATATTAAAGATTATTTCTCCACGGACTCTAGGTCCGTGCCCTTGTCATACAGTTTTTTAATTATAATACATCTAGTCAATATTTATAAATTAAAAAGAGGGAACCTAGTTACATACTACAATTAACTACATCTATAATTATTAGCAAAAGTATAGGTTACATAATAATTAGGCACTATTTATTTATTTCTATTTCAAAGGCTTTATGAAACCAGCCCACCAACACGATGGGAGAGCCGACCTGACCCAGCAGAAGGCACCCGTTCACGAGTATGACGTGTGTGTCAGCAATTGGTCCGGTCAACCTTTTTATTGGGAACGGAACAACCCAACACACAGCGCCACCGACTGTAGGACATTTATGTGTGCATGACGCCTCAACCCTTGCCACATGGGCCGATTCCAATAAAGCGTACAATAGTCCAAAATTCAATTGGTCATATTCTATTTCTACATGTTTCTGCACACACATTTCCTCATGTTGCATTCGTTCCATCACAAGCAACACTCCCCGCCCAAGAGAGCACCCACGACTGCCGCGTCCCTGTGTTTGATGGCCATTTTCAGGTTGTAGTCCTTAATACCTTGCTCACCCTCATCAGCCGCCTTCCTGATTAGTTTGCTTATCGCGTCTTCACTGTTGTCTGTGTAATAGATGCAACCATGCGTGTGACGCGATATTGCTACTACCGCGTGTGGTACGCTGTCATGTATTTGATGTTTCTTTGTTGCTGTGTTGACAACAATCACATTCGCACACGAAAGTCCCTGTGCCTCGTGTATCGTGAGCACGCGTGATCCCACGGTCGACCCGTATCCCTGGTTCTTAAGGGATTCCTTCTCTGCCTGAGTGTGTACCAGGTATAAAGTGTCGGGGAGTGACTTTGGAATCATCGCCCCCGAGAACCTTTTTATCTCGAGGGATCTCACGAACGACCTGGACGAATATATGCCACTGTAAACTGTGCTGAGGGCATACGCCACATCCATTGGATTTCTGTGGGTACACATCAATTCCTGGCTTATGGGCGTGATATATGTAGGGCGGCTGTAGAGTAGAGGGAAGAGGTTATCACGATCTATAAACGGAAGCTGATTTATGTCACCAATTAGAAGGACTTCCTTGGCTCGAGTTATTCGGGCGGCCATCACAACGGCTCCAAAGTGGTTCATGAGAGCCTCATCTACCATTAGGCGATGGCAGCTCTCTCGCTCCCCCAAGCCGTTTACTAGGATGGACGCCATTGTTCGAACCCTAGATTTGACGAGTCCTCCGATTCGGCAGGATAGTTTGCCTCTGAGGTCATTTGCTGCTTCGGTTGTCGTGGTGACAATTAGATCTTTGCCCGCTTCAAATTGATCTACTATCCATGTCGTTTTTCCGCAACCAGGGACGCCATTTGTCCAGCGAAACGTCGGAGTATGCCAGTCTCCAAAAACTTCGCCGTCTGATCCAGAATCAGAAATGGATCTTGCCATCTCTAATATTCTATCGTCCAGCATAATTCTGGTGCATTTGGCAACCACTACTAGGGAATCCCCTGGAGGAGTTTTAAACTTTAACACTCCGCATCGATCGGATTCCCTCTCGTCCAGAGACACAAATCCGGCAGTTGCGTTATAAGCAGCCATACTTCGAGTTATAGAGGTTCCTCTCAGTACCCTCGAGGTGTTGTTGTCGTATATGACTGCTTCTGCTGCTTCGAGTCTATCGTTCAGTATTAGCTCGTTTCCTTGCAGGTAAGTCTGCAGAATGGATTCGCATTTCCGCATGTTGACTTGCCTGGTTGCCTCCACCACTGCGGTAAACTCGAGAAAAGCATTTACGACATGGTCTCTGGTAGTGGGCGCTTGTCGAAGCCTCGGCGGACAAACGCGACCCATAGCTGCTCTTGTTGGTGATGACCTGGGGGGAGGAGACTGTATTTGTGCGCCTCCTGATCCTTGAGCAGATTTAACCACATTTTTTCTGAAGGGTGACGAAATCAGTCCGGTTACTGAGCATATGGCCGCTGTTATTGCCCACACTCTACCTCGTGATTCTAATTTTTTATTTTCCCTCTCGGTGTTTTGTTGGTGTTGTTGCAGAGCGCTTTGTTGCCTATATCTTTGTTGTAGACGCTCTGAGCCGCTTGGAGAATCCACCCTTAGCGCGTATCGAACTGGCTTTTTGAGGAAACTCAAGTCCTCACCCCTGTTCTCGTACACGATGACTTCATGATGTTCTGAAGCCCTGACGCATCCTATAAGGTCTGCCGTTCTTCCCTTCTCATAAGCTACCACGGCAGCGTCCACACTAATTATTCTGGGACTCATACCCTCGACCTCTCCCCGCCCACCCATGTCCGACAGCACACCGCAAGCTTGTTCAAAACAAGTCATTGAGTCGACGCTGGAGAACATTGCAATTGTTTTATTGCGTGTTCGCAGTAGTCGACAGCTCCGACCCAGCAGTTGCATTTCTGGCAGCGCATCGTATGTTTTGCGCCGCATACTTGTCTTGGATGTGCTGCCATTCATTAGGGAGGCTAAGCCGGGTGAAATAGTAAGCCATTTGCTGTTCTTGCTTTCGCAGAAGGCTATCCCTAGCCTTTCGCTGCTGGTGTTCATGAACAGAGCTACACTTCGTAGCCGTATTCCTTTGGA